GGGGGGAGCTGTGGGCTCCCCGGGGGCAGGGCCCGGAGCGAGGGGCCGGGCCGGGCCGGGCCGCCCGGTTTGCAGCTGGCTGATCCCCCGCTGCTGGAGGGAGCCTGAGGCCTGAGGGGAGTTGTCAGGGCGAAGGGGAAGCCAGGGGCGGTGTGGTGGGGTGCGTGGGTAACAGGGGTGCCTCGGCTCATCAGGCAGAGGCAGAGAAAGCCAAGATGATCGACTGCCTAAAGTATTTGCTGTTCGTTCACTCAGCGTTAAGGTGTGCTCGTGAAATTTCAGCTTTAACAAAACCCAAAGTTTTACTCTGGAGAAACTAGGTGTTGGAAATCGGTGTATTCTGAAAAAAAGTAAAGCCTTCAAGTAAGTGAAATGCGGCAGAAGGAATGTCTCGATCCACTTTCTGCTTTGCAGTGGCAGTTAAGCAGCAATGTCAATGGCTTTAACCCTTGGAAGAAGACAGAACTCTGTGATGCTGGCAAAGAACAAGACTCCAAACTGGCTTCTCCTGGCTCTGTTTGAGAGTCCTCTTCTAAATTGAGCCTAATATTTCATGAAAGTGTGTGAAACGTACTTCTGAACTTGGCCCTTTTCTCCAGTCTACCTGGAATCTGTTGTTCTTTGTTTCTGGTGTCTCAGACATCAGGCCCTGATGCCAGGTGATGAGGGGTATGCCTCAATAACAAAGGTTTGAGGAGAAGAATATAAAGGAAAGCTGACAAACATATTCTCAGGTGACAAGAATGTAGCGACAATTCCCTTTCTCCTGCTGTAAATGCCTGTAAATGGATTTGGTAGCTTGCTTTAATAACCTCAATATTTTCAGAGGACGTCCTATGAATGGTATATTCCAAAAGGAATCCTGAAGACTGGTTGGATGAACAAACACCTGAATTTGGTTCCAGCACTTGTGGTGGTGTTCTATGAACTCGACTGGGATGAGCCACAATGGAAGGAAAAACAGTTGGAATGTGCTACTCGAGTTGAAATTGTCAGGTAGAGTTTTTTCACTTGGTTCATAATAGAAGCTAACGGTAAGTGTGAATTGCAGAATCCTTTTCGCGTTCTAAAATGTATAATTTTTTTTTTTTCTCAGACACAAATTAAGGACAGCTTGAACTTTGTGTTTTAACACACAACTGACAGTAAAGAAACGTTTTTTCTTTAATGGTTTATTTGTAAAAGTCACAGAAGTAAAAACAGCCTCTGAAGATTTGCTTGTTAAACTCAGCACAATTGTTCTGTCCTATCTGAACAAATAAGGGAACACAGCATTCTGTGGATGTTGCAGCATATTGTTGTGTTTGGTTTTTTTCCCCTATATAACATGATTTCAGTGCTTCCATCTAGACTGAAATCTAATTGTGTTCTGATTATTCAGAAATAAGGAGTGAGACCTTGACGCTGTGCCCTATTGTTTTGATTTTAGGCAAAGTTTGCAGGGAAGAAACACGAAAGTCGCTGTGGTTTTGATTCAGAAAAAAACACCGTTACCTCCAGGTACTAAAAGACTCATGTGCACAGTTGTGATCTCACTTTTCAGAAGGGCTGATGGAATGAGCTGACTGTCATTTGTCACGTTATCTGTAGTTCTTAATGTAATGTCACCCACGTACGTTAAATGCGTTGTGGCTGCAGGAAGGTGTACAGATGGAAAGAGTACTCGGGGCAGTTGACCCTAAACATTTGATACTTTTATCCTTAACCTTGTTCTCTTAGTCAAAGTCCATCTTTTGATACATAGTATCAAAAATGGGTTGCTAGCGTAACACACATGACATACCTCCCTGTAAGCAAGTTGCTTTTTAAACCTTCCTTGAGATGAAGAAAAACTGTACAAGCAGTGAGAGCTTAGAGGAAGGGTATTTGGTACCTGCAGAACCCTTGTAGTTTAACTCAGTTTTAATCGATAAAATCTTTGAGCCAAGTGGAGCTGTAAAATGTGGTATGTTTTAACCTTATGTTTCTGTGGAGCTGCTGCTTCATCTGTGGCTGCATACCGTCTAGTGTCTGGCAAACCGGTTTTTGGTTTTTCTTTTCCTGCTTTATGTGTTTGTCTTTTCTGGATGCTATTGTATTTTTCAAGACATGGGATACTTAATTCTGAGAGAGGGATGGAAAAACATGTCTCATATCGGTAGGTCATGGCTAGCTAAGCCACTCCTAGAAAGTTTCTGCAGTGTGTTCTACTGGATGAAGCACGTAGTACTCTGAAAGAAGTAAGAAAGAAAGGGGTCTTAGTTTTGTCTGTATTAGATTTTTCGATACCTCCTACCTGTCGAGCTTTGAGAGGGAGTTTGACGTTTCAGCACTGCGTACTGCTTACTTGTGCTTTGCTTGATTTCACTAGGGGAAGATGTTATTGCTTCAGAGAGGGCAGCGGCTTTATGTAATGCTTGTGACCTTTCTGGAAAATCCCTCTTTGTACTTCCACACACTGATCATCTTGTTGGTTATATCATAAGGTAAGTGACTATGAAAAACACTGTTTTGCGCTGTTTGCTAATGGTGATGTTGAGAGAGTCAATAGCTTGGGATGACTGCTGTGTGACACGCAGACCAGCAGTGAATGTTTTGTCTCTTTGCTGGAATTCTTCAGGTTGTTTTGCAACCTGGTGAATTCCATGCAGTTCCCCTTTCTCTGTGAGGCTGAGTAATGACTGTCGGAGATGTTGCTTTTGAAGAAACATTATTAGATATCCCAAGACATTCCATTCCTCAAGTTAGGTAGAGGAAAAGTGGGCTTTTCTGC